GGATGCACAACAAGGTCCGGTTAGCCCTGCCAGCCGTGACCTCGCATTGTCGGCCCGTGTTCATCTTGTAGTCAGTAATGACTCCAAGATTCCTTTCTGCCTCCATACTCTTAAGAAGGGAGTTTCCCATCTTATAAGTGTGCTGCTGGTTTCTACTGCCTAGGTGCAGCACCCTACACTTGTCAGTATTGAAACGCATCCTGTTTGTCAGCCCACTCCTGTAACCTATCCAGGTCTTGTTGCAGTCTTTCCCTCCCTACTAGCATGCTCACTTCACCCCAAATTTTGGTATCATCAGTGAATTTAAACAGGTTGCATTTCCCCCCGTCGTCCAAATTGTTGATGAAGAAATTGAACAGCGCAGGCCCCAGGACCGAGCCCTGGGGGACTCCACTGCCCACTTCCCCCCAGATTGGGCGGCTGTTCTGCATCTAAGATAACTCCATACATTCATTCAGAATTCTAATACTAGACAATTTCTCCCTTAGAAATGCAAACACATTTTGTGAAACTATCCCAAGAATGGAGATTTATGTTTACCCTGCTTGGAGAAAGTGTTTTTGTGTTTGCAGTGAATATAGCACATCTAGTAGAGAGTTCTTCCATTCATGTTGCACATAATTGCTATACTGCATCAGACCATTTGTCTGCCTAGCCTTGTATTCTGCCTCTGACTGGCAAAAATGGATGCCATAGAGGGAAAGCATCAAACCAGGTGGCTCTAGAGTGATCAATCCCCTATTCAATATCTTCTCCAGCAAGTCATAGCAGTAGCCATGAGCATTTCTGAAGTATCTAGTAGTTGCTATCACATTTCTAAGTAGAACATTAGAGTTGACCCATACTGTAATTCCCCTCATGTTTGGAAACAATAAATTCTTTGGGTATTTGTCAATATGATGCTCACCAAACAAAAATCTCTGTGCATGCAGTCACAACAGGTAGAATTCATACATGTACTTCTGGACTGTATCATAGCATCACCCAGATTTTTGAGCGCATAAACCAAATACAGTAACTCAGATGTAATAGCAGCCTCTCACAATAGTATACTGTGACCACGTCTACATGTGCTGTTCATCTAAATAAATGCTGGTCCCCAGGACCACAGCACAGTGAGCAGGGTCAGAGCAGCCCCAGCTTGTAAGGTATCCAGGAGGGTCAGCCTGCTAGCACTGCTCAGTGTCCCCTGACAAGGTGCAGGACTACCAGAGTGGGGGTGATCATACACCTATAATTAGCAAAGAGCTTGTGAGAGAACAGGTTGAGAGGCTGGCCATCAACAAGTCAGCCGGCCTGGATGGAATGCACCAAAGAGTGCTAAAAGAGTTGGCTGACATCATAGCACAACCAATGGTGAGGATATT